AGGGAAAGAAATGGCAAATAAAGGTTATAAGATCTCCGGGAAAAAATGTAACACGAAATTCCAAACATTAAAAAGAACATATAAACAAATAAAAGATCATAATAATAAGTCGGGGAACACTAGGAAAACGTGGGAATATTTTGCGGTATGCTGATATACTGTAAGATTAATGTTTAAATATTTATATATAAATAGTATACATGTAGATATATGCTTACAGGCTATGGATGAATTATGTGGTCAAAAACCATGGGTCTAACCAGTATCGACTGCTTCATCTGATCAAAATGATCAACCTGCAAGTTCCACAGAGTTAGGTCCGATAAAAAAGGATAAAGGTATATATTCTAATTAATACATGTAGGTATTAATTCTGTATTTTAGTATGATGAAAATGGAAAAGTGAGCAGTATTGATTGGTCTAAATTGTTAGATCTACAAGTAATAATCAATCAATAATCACTCATGTTGTTAATTTTTCGCATTTTCATCAAAACTGAAATACAGAATTGATACCTTGATATTATAATTAGTTTAGATAAGAAAAATCTAAGAGATAAATTTAAATTTGAACTAAATTAATAATGTAATTTTTTGATTTATATATATTTATACATATATTTATTTACTTTTACAGATAAACTGCACTCTACAAAACAAACCTTATTAGAATTTAAAAAACTTTGTGCGGAAAAAAGAGAAGCACAACACAAAGAAAAAATGGATTTATTAAGAGACATCAAAAATTTAATACAAGAAACATTACAAAATGAATAATTCGGTATGAAGAACATTTTTACTCAAAACAGTTGCTCCTACAGAGTATGTGTAAACAAGACTGAATGAACATATAAGTTTCTATATTAGAGTTTCTATATTATAGTTTCTTTTAATAAATTATGTGCGGTTTTATTTTATTTTGTTAAATGTATTAATAATTTATGTTTGTTGCATATTATGTTGCATATAATGTTTTAATTTTGGATTATTTAGACATTTTGTTTTTCAGTTATGTGTTAATACGATAAAAGTATTTTATTTTTTGTTTTATGTGATATTAAAAATTATGTAGTAATATAATCATTTCTAGTAACACGAAATTCCAAACATTAAAAAGAACATATAAACAAATAAAAGATCATAATAATAAGTCGGGGAACTCTAGGAAAACGTGGGAATATTTTGAGGTATGCTGATATACTGTAAGATTAATGTTTAAATATTTATATATAAATAGTATACATGTAGATATATGCTTACCCATACAGCACAAAGTCGTCTAAAAGGATTACTAAAACTCGACATATTTTCGTCAAAGATATCTTTTAGTGAAAGCATTTAGTCGACGGAAAGATGACTTAAAGTTGACTCATGACCCGAATTGAGTCACCTTTAAGCCTTATCCATATGATGACTAAAAGGTGGCTAATAGTAGACATCTTTTAGAAGTCTGTAAGGCTTCTCTTAGACATCTTTTTAGTCACTTTAAAGATTTTTTTTAGATATCTTTTAGTCGGTTTTAAGATTTCTTTTTAGACATCTACTAATGGTTTTAATTATAGGTTAGGTAAAATTAAAATGTATAAAAGCAGATATATTTATAAAATTTATTCAATAAAATATATTGAATATTTATGCAACAATTTGAGCTATTAATTATATACACAGTGATATATAAAATAATTTTTAATCTATCACACTGTGATAGATAAAATAATCAAATTTATTTTTTCTCGAATTGTATATCGAATTTTCCCAATATCTTATCGAGAACGAAAGCAAAATGACAACAAGAATAAGATAAAAATTAGAGGGAACGAATGAAAATATATAAGAAATCAAAACTTGTGCGCACAAATGTCGACCCCAAACGATCAGACTTATTCAGGTAAGATTTATATATTAATTATTATATTAAAGATATATTGCAATCATTTATAGACGATAAATATTGCGACTAACGAAGGATTAAACAATGCAAGATTAACATACTGCCGTATTCGAATTTGAAAATCCATTTCCAGGCCGTCACTGGAGCATCATTCGATCCCTCTTGGACAATCTCAGTCGCGAATATATCGAATATATATTGAAAAAAAAAATGACTTATGAACTTATTCTAACCATATTTACATATGTACATTTTTTGTTTTATGTGATATTAAAAATTATGTAGTAATATAATCATTTCTATTTTAGTTTTGCATAATATAGGTTTTTTTATATATATTAATAATTATATATGTATATATTAATATATATTAATTTTATATATTAATATTAAAAATTATAAGAATAAGGATTATTTTTATAAGATCTATAAAATATAAGTGTTGTGTATAGCATGCAATAACAAGCAGTAGCGTATTAGAATATAATATTATAATACATGTTATTCATATTGTTCGGGAGTCGACCTCGACGAGATCGCCCGAATCTTGAGAAACTAAATAGTATACATGTAGATATATGCTTACAGGCTATGGATGAATTATGTGGTCAAAAACCATGGGTCTAACCAGTATCGACTGCTTCATCTGATCAAAATGATCAACCTGCAAGTTCCACAGAGTTAGGTCCGATAAAAAAGGATAAAGGTATATATTCTAATTAATACATGTAGGTATTAATTCTGTATTTTAGTATGATGAAAATGGAAAAGTGAGCAGTATTGATTGGTCTAAATTGTTAGATCTACAAGTAATAATCAATCAATAATCACTCATGTTGTTAATTTTTCGCATTTTCATCAAAACTGAAATACAGAATTGATACCTTGATATTATAATTAGTTTAGATAAGAAAAATCTAAGAGATAAATTTAAATTTGAACTAAATTAATAATGTAATTTTTTGACTTCAATGATTATGACATCATCTATAAAATCTTCATGTAAAATACAAATGTTGTGTAGCACGCAACAAGCAATAATGTATTGAGGTATAAGATCTGTTCGTTTCATATATAATTTATTTAAGAGACTACAAAATCGTCCTTTTAACAAACCAATGGCTCTCTCAACCATTACATGAGCCGAAGATAAACGTTCATTAAAATTTATTTGCGCTCTTGTCAAATGAGAGTATTCTTTTACTGTGCCCAT